CGCTCCCCCCGCCGGCGCAGTACCTGCTAGCGTTGAGCTCGAATCCGTTGCAGGCTTCTCCGTTTCGGAAGGGCGCCGAATGCGGATCGAAGGATTGGGCGCGATCGAGAAGCTTCTTTTTCCTCTTGGAGGCGCGGTTCTTGCGCTTCTTGCGGCTGCGCTCGGTCGTTGGATCCGATTCGTCGTCGGCGGAGAGGCTCCGGCCCAGGACCTCGAAGGAGAGCTTTCTGGTGGCGCCGTTTCGCGACGCCATGCGCGAACGGAAAACGGAGTTTGAAATCGATTGCTAAAGAAACGGCGAAAGCGAAAAGAGAGTGATTGGTGTTTTGTTACATGTCGTGAATTGGAAGGTTGAATTGCGGTTTTGGCGTGGCTTGATTGATTCGTCTTTGCGGAAAGTGAGAACCACTGTCTCTGTTCGTTTCTTCTACAACTCTTGCTTTCCTTCGCGCTCTCATCCCACTGCTCCTCTTATTCCTCACCGTATCACTAGTATCAATATTTTTCAATCACCTTTTTTTTTACTATACTTAATACCAAAATGCTGCCATTTATGTTTCTATCACATTAAATAATATTAATTACTTTTTTTTATAACTTAAAAAGGAGTATATTTTTTTACAAATTTTATTTTTGGCTATAATTTTTACATTATCATCGGATTATATATTATCAACTCAATTGTCGTATAATTTATAAATGTATAAGAGTTTTAGATTTAAATTTTGGTGTTGTAATTATAATTCTGATGAATAAAAAAATTTCATTTATTATATGATTGAAGCATCCAATAATAACAGATTTTAACAAACGTTGTATAACTTAAAATATGGTGTAAACCGAGTAATATACAAAGGGTCTGTGTTCTAACTTTAATGTAATTTTAATAAATGAAAAAAAATTGTTGTATAACTTAAGTAACCTTAATTATTTTAAACATTATAAAAGGATCTGTTTTAATTTTTTTATGATCAACCACAGAACCTATAATTCTAGGATGGAGAGGATTTGGGGTATGCCTATTGAGAGCCAACCACCTTCGGAACATCCGGATGGGGGCGTTGGGGGTCTCAAGACGAGTCAGACATTGACCTTTAAGGAGAAGGTACTAGGTGCTCCGGCGAAGCGGCCAGCTGTTCGAGATCTTATTCAGGAGGGGGCGATGACGTTGAAATTTGAGGGTGGAGATCGGTTGCTACCTAAATTTAGCATTACGGCGCCCACCCTTAAACAGTTGTGTGAACCATGGGAACAGTGTCTAGTGATCAAGTTGCTAGGGAGAGAGGTGGGGTTCTTAACCTTGCGGGACCGACTACCTGCTTTGTGGAAGATTCAAGGAGGTTTCGAGCTGCTGGACGTGTCAAATGGTTACTTCATGGTGAAGTTTGATCTGGAGGCGGATAGGGAAAGGGTCATGCACTGGGGCCCGTGGATGCTCTTTGACCACTATCTGATTGTGAGACCATGGTCCCTGGAGTTCGTTGCGTCAGCAACAAAAGTCGATAGTACTCTCGTATGGATCCGGTTTCCAGGTCTCGGAGTTATGTTCTATGATGAGAGTGTTCTCCTAACAATTGCTTCAGCTATAGGGAAACCAGTCAAGGTGGACCTTAACACCCTGAACATGACTCGAGGTAGGTTTGCACGGGCCTGTGTCGAGATTAATTTAGAGGAACCAGTTGTAGGAAGGTTTTTTCTCAATGGTGTGTGGTATAATGTGGAATATGAGGGATTACATTTGCTGTGCTCGTCGTGCGGTTGCTATGGACATGTGTTACAGAACTGCCCACACGCAGCTAGGTCGGAGTCAATGGCAACTGGCGTGGGTGAGAAGGAGACTACGGAACAGCCGCCAAGGGTTCCAACGCATAGTGAAGGTTCTGCTGCTCAAACGGGTGAGAAGTCTGATCCACATGTCAAGGGGGGAATCGCGCCTGATCCGCATGGCGATTGGATGATCGTGAAACAGAGGAATCAGAAGCATAATTTTGGGAAACCGCAAGGTAAGGGCCGATTTTCTTCTCATAATGGAAGTGAGGAAATCAAGGAGCAGAATCATGCGTTGCCAAGTTATTCTAAGAAGGGTGCCCACATTGTGGCGGAATCACGTGCAGGTATAAAAAATTCACGTGCTGCGAGAGAGCCTCCACGTGAACAAGCCCGTGTATTTGTTTCAAATATTGTTGATGGGGGCCACGGGATGATTGAGAATCAAAACAGCAAGGGCTCCACGCAAGATAGGAAGAAACGAAGTAAAGGAGAGGAGGTAGGTGCCCACTCACGGTCCACTCCAGCTAGCGAGACGGTCCCAGCGGTGATGAGCTGTCATATGCCCGTAAACCGAGCAGCATCCCTCATCTTAGCGAGCCATGTATTGTGATAGAAGGAGGGATGGGGGAACTACATACGAGTACGACATTTAATGTGCTTCATACTGGGTGCACTACTACCATACATAATGATTCCGAGGACAGTGTACAAGAGATTCTGGGAGATATCATGCAATACGACCAGCCATTGGAGACCATGTTGGCTTGAGTATATGCCGTAGTTGCTGTTCTTAATGACTACAAAATTTAACATTTTGAGTTGGAACATCAGAGGGGCTGTTAATGCCAAAGGTAAAAGGAGGGTCTCGGAGTTGGTAAGGCTCCACCACCCGTCTCTTTTTATTGTTTTGGAAACTCATTGCCAATTTTCCTCGGTGGAATCCTTTTGGAGGAAGTTGGATTATCAGTTGTGTTATAGCGTGGAGGCTACGGGGCATTCCGGGGGTATTTGGGTATTGATGGCGGGGTCTTGCACTACTAACATATCTGCATTTGCCTCTCATCCGCAGGCTATCTCGTTTAAGGTTGTTGAAGGAAGTAAGAGCTGGGTGTGTACGCCCGTTTATGCTAACCCTCGGGTGGACCTCCGACAGCGAGTTTGGGCTCATCTTCGGGAATTGGGGGGTCGGGTTACGTTGCCATGGCTAGTACTTGGGGACTTCAACGAAATTTTGTTGTCAACTGAGTGTAGGGGTGGTCGTTTCTCGTTATCACGGGCTTCACAGTTTCTGGAGGTTGTGAATGATTGTAACCTGCTTGACATGGGGGCCAAGGGTCTCCGTTTTACGTGGTATCGTAATCAACGTGGGGTTGTGCTGGCTAAGCGGTTAGACCGTGCGATGTTTAATGTTGCGTGGCAAGCGCTGTTTCCGGAAGCTTATGTTGAGAATCTATGCAGGGTCTATTCTGATCATTGCCCTCTTCTACTGCCGTGGGAAGGCTCAAGGGATATTTCTCATGATAGACCTTTTCGGTTCCAAGCTGCATGGGCCACCCATAAAGACTTTGAGCGACTTGTTAAGGAGGCGTGGTGCCGGAGTACGCCGACCCTTGCTAGGGGTCTACAAGCTGTTCGCGTAGATGCCATACAGTTTAACCACGAGGTGTTTGGGAATATCACTACTAGAAAGAAGGCTCTACAACGACGTCTCAGAGGGGTACAATTACAACTTGAGACAAGGGACTCAGAGAGCCTGTCGCGCCTGGAAAAGGCCATTCAAGCGGAGTTAGATGAAACGTGCCTTCAGGAGGAGTATTTATGGTTTCAAAAATCGAGAGAGAAGTGGGTCAGGTTTGGGGACCGTAATACGTCCTTCTTCCATGCTCAAACTCTTGCGAGGAGAAAGAGGAACAAAATTAAGGGATTGTTTCTACTAGATGGGTCTTGGAACACGGATCCTGGGGTGTTGAAAACTGAGGCAGTCCGATTCTATAGAGAGATTTTCTCAATTGATCACGAACAAGAGTCTCTAGATATGCATACTGGGGCCCCACCTGGCCTGGGAGTTGAGGCCCAATTGGCTTTAACTGCACCAGTCACGAATGAGGAGGTTCGTCGGGCGGTGATGAGTATGAAGTCGTACAAGGCACCAGGGCCGGACGGGTTTCAACCGTTCTTTTTCAAGCAGTATTGGCCTATTGTGGGCGATGAGTTATGGTTTACAGTGAAAGATGCTTTTCGGTTGGGGTTCTCGGAAGTCTCACTATTGGAGACTCAAATGGTGTTAATTCCGAAGGTGGATCATCCGGTTAGCCTTAAAGAGTTTCGCCCTATCAGCTTATGTAATGTTGCCTGGAAGGTTATTTCTAAAGTGTTAGTGGCTCGTCTAAGACCCTTCCTGCAGAATGTCATTGGCCCTTTCCAGGGCAGTTTTATCCCTGGGAGGAGGACTCGTGATCATAGTATTATTGCTCAAGAAGCCTTCCATTTCGTACGGAAGAAAGGCTCAGGGGTGGGGTCTTTGGCTGTAAAAAATGACCTTGAGAAGGCATATGACAGGGTCAGGTGGGATTTTTTGGAGTCTACGCTGGTGCAGTTTGGGTTTCCACCAGTCACAATCCAACTCATCATGTGGGGGTTGAGGAATTCGACAATCTCACTCCTTTGGAATGGAAACACATTACCGTCCTTTGTTCCGTCTCGTGGCCTTCGGCAGGGAGATCCATTATCACCATATTTGTTTGTCTTCTACATGGAGCGCCTAGCCCTTAGGATCTCGGAGCTGCTCCACGAGGGTCAGTGGAAACCGGTTCAGTTATCCCCTGGGGGGTTACCTCTTTCACACCTTCTCTTTGCTGATGATATTTTACTGTTTGGTCAAGCTTTAGAGGACCAAGCCCGTTTGATGGCGTCAGTCTTGGAAGAGTTTTCGCGTTCATCAGGCTTGAAAGTCAATTCGACTAAGTCTAAGTTTGTGAGCTCTAGAAGGGTTTCACAGAGGAGGATTGATACGTTGGAGGGATTGCTTGGGATTGGCCACACGGCTCGGATCGGGAAGTATTTGGGGATCCCCATGACTCATGGTCAGCCGAGGTGCGCATATTTTTTTGATGTGATGGATAAGATCCAGGGTAGACTTGCGGCTTGGAAGTCCAAGCTTCTTAATAAGGCTGGTAAGTTGTGTCTCGTGAAGTCCACCATCTCCTCTATTCCAGTTTATAGTATGCAAACCTTGTGGCTTCCTCAAGCAGTGTGCAATAGAATTGATCAGGCTTGTCGCCGTATGCTCTGGGCAAAACCTGACAGCACACGTTTTGGTCCCCAGTGAGGTGGGATGTTGTTACTAAACCCAAGACGTTGGGTGGCCTGGGGGTTAGGGAGGCGCGAAAGGTGAATGTATCGCTCCTTGGGAAGTTAATTTGGGACCTGCTTACGGCTCCACAGAAGCCTTGGGTTTATATCCTCAGTAATATATACCTACATGGAGATTCGATCCTGTGTGCGCAAAACAGGCGGGGGGCTTCTCCAATCTGGTCAAGTCTTGTTAAGCCCCTTCCTTCCCTTCGTGCGGGATTCGAGCCTCAGCTAGGATCGGGTGCCTCATCCCTTTGGTACACGGATTGGTCAGGCACTGGGCTTTGGTGCAGGAGAGTTCCTTTCGTTCATATTGCAGACACCAACAAAACGGTCGCCGACTGCTGGGTTAGCGAAGAGTGGGACTTCACTTCCTTATATACTGCTATTCCAGCGGAATTGATTCATTCGGTCCAAAGGTTGCGTGTCGCCAACTCCTTCTTGGGGCTGGATCATTTTGCGTGGAGGGGTGATAGCTCGGGTTGCTTTACAGCGGCGTCTGGGTATCGTTTCCTGTCTACGGGCTCGTCAACAGAAGGGGATGAAGTTTGGAAGAAGCTCTGGAAGTTAATGCTCCATGAGAAGGTTAAGTTCTTTCTGTGGCAATGCCTTCATTCAGCTCTTCCAACGAATCAGGTTCGGGCTGATAGGAGGTTGGCCGAGTCTTGTGCGTGTTCGCGTTGCTCTTGCCCTCAAGAAACTATTTTACATGCACTTCGTGATTGGCCGTATTCGCGGGAGGTGCTGATGTCTGGTGAGATAAGTGTGGGCTGGTCTTTCTCTGAAGTGGATTGTTTCCAGTGGCTGAAAGGGGTTATTTTGCATAAGGATGCTATTAAGCTTTCTATCACTTTGTGGTGGGTCTGGCGGTTTAGGAATAACATGCTGTTTAACGGCGAGCTTTGGACGATTTCGGCGGTCCGTCGGAAGGTGACAATGTCTACAGTGGAGAACAGTGTGTACAACACTAAGAGGCGTTTCTGGGTGGAGCAAACACTTTGGAGGCCTCCGGAGCATCCGTGGGTCAGACTGAACACGGACGGGAGTTGGTTGAGTGGGGTTTCTGCTATGGGGATGGGCGGAGTAATCCGCGATTGGGCAGGTATGTGGCGGGGTGGCTTCTCGCGGGGAGCTCTTCATGGCGATGCGTTACGTGGCGAGCTGCTGGCCTTGGAGGAGGGCTTATCGTTTTGTTGGGAAGGTGGGTTCCGGAAGGTGAATTGCGATTGTGATTGCCTGGGTGCAGTTACGCTTTTTTAAGACCGGTCAACGGACCGACATTATCTGCATAAGCACTATGATGTTATTCATCGTATCAAGTGCATCATAGCTAGGGAATGGGTTGTTTACGTAAGCCATATTCCTAGAGAGATGAATTCAGTAGCTCATACGCTGGCTAATTGGGGTGCACGGAACATAGGTTCCAATATATTTTGGAGGAGTCCTCCTGAATTTATCTTGTTACCATTAGGTAGAGACTCTATGTCTTGAGTTATCTGCTGTTTTAATTTTCATTCTTTACCAAAAGAAAACATTATAAAAGAAATTGTTGTATAACTTAAGTAACCTTAATTACTTTAAACATTATTCCAAATTTGTATTTCACCTATATTTATCAAGAGTGACACTTATGGATATGTAATCAATTCTGACTCAATTTTGATTAAAAAAATCATATAAATTTTCTTTAACTTGAAAAATTGAGTTCGAGTTTTAATATATAAGTCTTTGCTTTATTCTTGTCATGATATTTTCTCCTACTAAATTCTTCTACATTTTTCTTAAATATATATATATATATATATATAAAAGTTAAAGTTAACATAAAAATATTAAAATATAAACTAATTATTTTAATAATTATAATTTAAATTATAATAATCAAATAACAAATTTAAAATTATCAATTTAACTAAAAATATAATTTAATTATTAAATTTTTATTTATAAATTATTTCTTGATGACTTTATATATTATTTATATTACAATATAATTATTAATTTAAAATTTAATTTATTTAAATTGTATAAATAATAAAATTGTTGGAAAAAAAAGGTGATGAAATTCCGAGATTACTCACAAAGATGAAGGTGAATTTTAATAAGAGTTAATCACCTATACACTGTGAGTGTAAAGTTTTTTTTACTTTAGTAACCAACTATATCTTTTAATTGTGTCATGTCACTATAAATATATTTACTTTTAACAATGATATGACATAATTAAAAGATATAATTGGTTGATAGTATAAAAATTTTTTACATTGATAATATATAGGTGATTAAGTATCAAGATGATTAACTCTTTTAATAATATAATTTGTTTGTGTTTAAAATCTGAACCCGTCTCACATGCAGAGATGGAGAGAACAAAAGACGGTCTCAGTGATTGATACAATGTACTTGGTTGGTAAATCAGATGACAGAAGGATACACTTTGTCATAAGAATATTAGTTGATGATCTTATTTGGGTATGTATGATAAATCATGAATATTAATTACTAATTTTTTTAATCAATATCTAAGAATATTTACTCTATTTTTATCTACTTTAGGGAGATAAATTCGAGAGAAAAAAAAAATCTCAGTTGGATTTCTAAATGCTAAACAATATTCCAGGTTCTGGTATTTTCGCATCATAAAAAAAAAAAAATATATATATATATATATATATATATATATATATATATATATATATATGTATAGCATTGAAGAAGTTAAAGAACTTTAAAGCAATAACTTACGTGTAAGGGAAACGTTCCACAAGTTTTTTTTCTTTTTAAAGTATAAACTTACAGAAGCTACAAGTTTATTGTTAGAAAAGAAAAAAAAATAGAGTACATAAAAAGAAGTAAGAAATAAAATAAAAATAAAAATGTGTAATTTAAAAAATACAAAATTTCTGTGAGTATTTTATCTCAGTTGATTTGTTAATCGTAATCGCAATACATTTATTGTAAAAATTACTGTATGATATAATTAGATATAGGTTTCACTTAAAATTTCTTCACTGAATATTAGTTAATAGCTAATATTAACTATTGTCTCAAAAAAAATATTAACTTATTAATGTTCGTCAATATTTTAATACTTATGTAAATAAAATTAATTCTATATGCATAAAAAAAATTAAAATAATTCTATATTTGTAAACTTTTTTCTCTCTCCACATTTACTCATTCATTCCCAGTTTTCAATTTTGAATTGAATGCTCTTCAATTTTCAATTTACACATTCACCGTCCTACCAGTGTCTTGTATATTTTTTTATATCACAGCTGTCAATAACTGCATTTAAATTAAAACATATATTTTATTTAAATATTATTTTTTAAAATTATTTCAATGTTTTGACCTTTTATATTTAAAAATATTATTTTATATTAATTTTTATATTTTGTAATTACGTATCTCGTTTAATATATTTTATTTTTATTTCAATGTTTTGTTTAAAAATATTATCATAATATAAATTATTTATAGTAAATCTAAAATATTTTTATATATTCAAAAATATTCATTAAAATTTTTAATTAAATTACAATATATAAATAATAAAATTATTTCTTTATTTTAACCTTATATATTAATAATATAAAAGGAAGAAGTTGAGTATTAATTCCCTTCCTTCCAAAAATTCCAACTGCCTTTCCTCCAAAACTTTTTCAAAATATTTTTATATAAAAAATAATGCTATAGAAAATGTAGGTGTCATGTAAAAAATAAGACATGTTCTCCATAAATTTAAGTACTTATATATAAAGATGAAAATAATAATAATAATAATAATAATAAAGTAAAAAAGTTAATATAGAAAATTTATAGTTATTCAATCTTTTTTATTACACATGATTAGGGCTGGAACTATGGTAGCTGCAGGATGTAAAT